ATATATATACATATATCTATATATATATATATATATATATATATATATATATATATATATATATATATATATATATATATAGTCATCATCCTGGACTGATATTAGACTGATCTGACAAAACTGGACATTCAGGATTGTCTGTGGCCTACATTTCAGAATCGTTTGTGGATGCATCACATGACATGATCATTGGTTTTGGGAATTTGTTAAGGTGTGAGGCACACAAAAGACTTACCTGTCCACCTAGACACGGCCTCTTTTGCTGTAATATTTGCCTTACCTAGAAAAAGGATGAATATATTAGCAGTGCCATACTCGCCAGGTTACATTGTGAAGTCCCGTTTAATCCGTTTTTCTCTATTGATGAAAATATCCTTTAAATGTAGTCAATATTTCATCAAGTCATTTTGCTCGGACTAAAAATGTTATCTAATCTTAGTTGATGAAAATAACATTAGTTAAGTGAAATTGAAAATGCACTGAAAGTCCACAAGCGAGACTCATAGGAGCAATTAAACAAATGACTTTCCAGGAAATCCCGTATACGGACAAATGAATCCAGCTATCGCTGTAGCCGAATAAATGTTTGACTGACGAAATATGAAGAGAATTAACACACCATTGCAACAGTACAGTATTTGGTTCATCTGTGTTCTTCAAGCAATCTCAGGTATTTTTCATTAGGATAATGTATATTTATAATGCAATGCTAACTGACTTAGGCTTTATCGCTGTATAGAATACTATGAAATTATATAATTTCTATCTCATTCTGTGATACGAAGCCACATCAGTTTACAAAAAGAAGTTAAAAAAGAAAAAAATATTTTTTTTTTCAAGATTCTGTAAATATTGCGATAAATCATTATTGTGAGTTCTTTTGGCCACAATAATCGTGTAGTGAAAAATCTGATATCGTGACAGGCCTAATTACATACATTAATAAAAAAAAATAAAACGCATGTGAAAACCCGAAAATAACAATCTAATTTCAGTTGATGAAAAAGAGTAACTCATTAGTTTAGTACATTTAAAAAAATGAAAAAGAGTTGCAATGTTAATAACTGTGAAAAGGGATTTGTAACAGAAACAGTGTTTTCACAATGTGACGAACATTCTGACTAGCGTGTAACTTCAAGTTCACCTGTGCATTTGCATCATTTTGTGCAGAAGTTGTGCTTACATTGTGTGTATGCCTGAATAATTTCATGCGTTTGAGTTAAATAACCCGCTCAACAGCTGTTCATTCGCTCTTTAGCTTCAGCTCAAAACTATTAGATTAGGAAACAATCATATTCTTTTTAGAATGGTATAGAAAAAATTTGAATCAACAGTATGTTTAAGTAATAATTCATTAAGCCAGGATTAGGCCATAGTTCAATTAGGACACTTAAGTACTTTTTTATAAACGTGCCTTAGAAAAAAACATTACTGGTGTGCATCTCGAGACAAAACAAAGGCACTGATATATATTTTAAGATCAACCAGTGCAAGTTTCTTTCATCTGAAACAGCTCAGACTTACATTTTAGTCTAAGACTAGACTTAAGCCTTGTCTGTGAAACCGAGGGGTTAGTCGACTAAAACTTGACTAAACAAACACAGACAGGACAAGGTTGACTAAATATGATAATAACTAAAAAGTACCTTTGACACCAAGAATAAGACTAACTTAAAAATGGCTGACAAAATGAACACTACTCAGAATTGTGTGAGATCGGTCTTCTGCTAAACATATTGGAGTACCTCAGGGAGACGCAATAGTTAAGACAATTTTACAAGTGATTAAAATATAGACATAACAGCAAATCCCGAAAGGCAGAGAAAGCATCAAGTATTTCAGCAGGGACTACTGACATTTTCACAGCATTTAAACTGCAGGGGTTGCTAGAGAGACGGAGCTGCAGGGATGGGGTGATGAACGAGGCGGATGATGCAAAGAGAGGTTACACATGTTATTTTCTCTCAAGAGACGCGAGTCATTATCTCCACCAGCACCTGAGAGAGATGATTATTCGCGGCTGATCGCATGACTGTCTGGAGGATCAGAGCTGGATTTGGCTGGGAATGTGCGATAGGTCAGGAATATTATAAACAAGGCACCGAACATTTGTGTAGAACTTCAGCTGTGTGTTGGTTGCATGGTATCTACATCTACAGTTTCTCAAATCAAATCTAAAACTTTTTAAGACCTGCACTAATAAAATCAATACCACATGTCCATACAGATCAAACCTATACAATGTAAAAAAATTTAAATAAGTCATGCATCTCAGATTATTTTACTTAAACAGGCTGTGGCATGCATTCAACAAGGTCTTACCAGCAAAACATTCAAATCCTAGACTTCTTGTATTCAGTATATACGTGTACTGAAACTGGTTTATGTTCTAATGCATCAATCCATGCAAATTAGAGGACGACTGATATCTAAGTCACGTGAGTTTACAATGGATTAAATGCCAGATACAGCTTTTTGTGTAACCCAAATACCAATAATATCCAAAAAAAAAAAAGAAGGATAAACTGTAGACTGTATGCATAATGCAAACTTTGAATTATAAACGAGCCCAAAATACACAGTGACTCTTAATTTGAAATGCATATGCTATACTACTTTAAGCTGCTCGTTCAGAAATGAGGTTGATGAGGGAGTTGCATTTTTGCAACCATTATATTACAACATATTACAATATACTGTGAAGACCATAAAGTAAATCCATCAACGGTAGATCATAAGCAATTGCTAGCATTGCTAGAACATGCAACACTGAAATGTGTCAGACAAAATAAAATTCAGTCACACAAAAACTCTTTAGTGCAGTTTACTATTGAGCTTAGAACTGTTAGTGGTGGTGCATTTAACCAGAGATGCAATTCTCAAATAACTGAGCGAATGGAGAGCATTTTAACTTCTCTCCCTGTGAAGCTTAGTCTCTTAAATCATCTTCTTTACAAGGCTCTACAGTGCGACCACAAACTACTGCATATGGCGACTATGAAAAAATATGTGCGACTGATCTGATTTGTGTTTGCGCTCAGGGGAGCATCAAAGGTTTCTATTTACAACGTGTTTTTGCAGCGTTGAGTAATGCATCACAGACATATCTGTTGATATCTCGAATGCAGTGTTCCATCACTGCTCAATACACCGGCATTTTGTTCAGTACTGAGTTCTGCGAGCTCACGAATCCTCTCATTATAACAAAGTGTAAATAAGAGATGCCTTGTGCAGTATAGAGAGCTCTGATTGATTATAATGGAACTTTGTGAGATGATCGACAGCTTTTAATGATTATTAAGGGAGTTTGCAAATGTGATATTGATTTAATACACGTTTAATAAACAAGAAGTTAATATTAAGTGACTTACATTGTCTGACTACAACACTATTGCCTGATTTTGCTCGATTTCATCAACAAAAATAGTCACAGCTGAGCCGCTGCGCATCTCCAAGCAAACACAGCGCTGTTTCGTTTATGAATGAACGTGCGTTTTTAAACGAATCTAGTGAGTCAAGGATTCAATTACCCATTCATAAAGACTTGCTTCCTTCCTGAATGAATCAGCCGTTCGAACGAATCAATTGAATGAATGATTCAGTGATAAAATCAGTGACTTGCCGCCACCTACTGGCAGTTTTAGTTTCATTTTTAAAGTATAATTTCAGTTATTTAATTTATTCAGAATTTCATATTTAAAACATTAATCTCAACATGAATTTATTTGCACCCATGCCACATTAAACGTCCGTAAATATACCTACAAGCCACTTTTGTGTTCTTCTGTGCCATCTCTGTAGTGCAAATGTTTTTTTTCATACCGATTTAATTTGATTGGTAAATGTTCTTCTTACTTGTTCTTATCCTATAGTTTTGAAATAGCTTATAAATATAAATTTTTGAATTTGACATAAAAAGATGACATACTTTTTATAAAGTTAGAAAAATGGCATTACAAAGGGGGAAAAAAGCCCTGTAAATCACATTAAGTCAAACATCATCTCGTAATGGGAAGGCTAATTTTCGTTATTGATCAGAAGGTGCTCCTGAGTTTTTTGACTGTGCCTAACAAGAAAAGTAAGCTCTCAAGCACTGTTGCTATAGTCATCAAAACACCACAACCGTAAATTTCAAGACAATCACTGTAAGGCTTCAGACTTGCTGTGAGCAACGCTTCCCTTACTATGCAGACAGAGTCTGTTGCTGACTCTTTATTGTGTGCTTCTCGCTCCCTGGTGTCTTATCAGAGTAATGCAGATGATTACTTAGAAAAAATGGAAAACAAAGTAAACGCAGCAGTGAAATCCTGCTGGGTTTTTGATATTAATGTGTGTACTATTTACACAGCTACATGCACGCTTTTAGGAGAACTAACCAGTCCGTGCAGAAATTATGAGTGTCATGGCAATGTAATTGTGAAATCAATTTAAGTTTGATAATATTAAGACATATCAGAACTTCCACTTTTAAGACAAGGCAGAGTGAGCACTAAGCCTGTTAATCACCGTCTGGCAGAAGTCAAAGTGTATTTAGACTATATAAATTCACACTTTTAAATTTACATTACATTTGATATATTTAACCCACAACCCATCTCTGTATACCAGCAGACTCTCATCACAGAGCACAAATATACAGAGGTACTGTATTCTGAGATGGATTATAGTGGTCAAACAATACAAATTTTGTGTTTTGTTTTCGTGACAATGAAGCCAATATCTTAGGGAGCAAAGTGGCCAACTACAGACCTCAGCGTCTTGTTTCTGTAATTCTATAATACACAAATAAATAAATTGTTAAAAATATGAATAAGGAGGATCCTGGAGGGTAAGATGTGAACTATTTAGTCCCTCTACGCTGATTTTCAGTGTTATTTATATTATCGGCATTATTTATATACAATTATAGTTTTTGCTCGAATAGACGATGCTTTGTCGAAATCTGTTTTGCATCATATGAATGTATACTACGACAGTATGTAGCTGCATGATTTCTGTTCGTTTTAAAAGAAAAAAAAACATTTTGTGAAGAAAAAAGGGAGAAAATGTAACATTCAATGCTAGGGACGTCCATTTCGGTTATTTTTCCTAACCGACGCTTGTTAACCGATTGTATATATATAGCCTATATTGCTATAGCTTCTTATATTTTTAATTCTTGTTCTTTTTTAAATGCTGTTAATTGAAAGGATTTGTTGTGGAGTGAGGGGAACTAACACTAGCTATGTTTACAGTGTTTATTATAATGTTCGTAAACATTTCGCGTCGGCATCAGGCCTATTTCTGAATGAAATAATAAAATGCGACTTATACGCGACTTATGTTTTTTCACCCTAAAAAACAATTTTTTTTATATGCATAGCGTATTTTAACCATGCAGCAAACCTTTTTGAAATATTTTGATAAATTACTGAAAAAATAAATAATGAGATGACTTTTTAACCCGTGATTGTATGAATCGGTCAAAATTCTTACGGTCGGTTAACCGGTTAAAATGAGCATCCCTATTCAATGCAAAATAAAAATATAATTTTTTAGCAAAGTGTTGGTTTCCCAAAGCGTAAAAACAAGAATGCACAACAGTCAACTTGGATCATTTGTGCCTATATTGCAACGTCATCACTAAATTGCTTTCTGTGTTTTAAGACTGTTAATTGCTGTTTGCAGATACGATAGAAATGAGTAAGTTGTGTCGTGAATAGAATATTATCCATCCATATTATGTTGTTGTAAACTCTAAATATAGCTTACCCCAAAATAAGTATTAAATGGCAAATATACTTGTCTCAAATAATCCGTTTACTTACAAAAGTGGTTTATTCAGCACGCTGAAGCCTCTCCCGCATTGACATTTTTGTTAAAAAATATTGTTTTTTTAAACGTTACGCCAGTTTATTTTTTATTATTCATCATTATTATTATTATTTCTTCCAACAGGACAAACATTTCAGCATCACTGACAGATATTTATAAAGCCCTAGGGCAGAACTTTTCTGAATTTCAGGTCAAGTGCATTCCTGGCCGTTTCTACAGCTAGGTTCGTTATTTTGGCGCCTCGTCTGGAAAAATCCTCTGCTTTCAAACAGGCAAGGATCAGTTTTCTGATGATTACCATTACATACGGAACTTTCACACTTAGTAACACATACAGCTGTTCCCTCACCACAGTGCAACAGTGAAAAGGGATCCAATGTTCTTTAAGTGACGTATTGCGGTATTTTAAAAATTAATATCATAATAAAAATAAACACCGGTATTCGTTATGAACCGGTATACCACCCAGCACTCTGTCTGTGACTTATCAGTGTCAAGGTTGATCAAACTTACTGATTCCTTTGGACTTGGGGGCGATTTTTTCCATGTCTTTCAGCTGAAACACATCTTTCGTGTGTGTGTGTGTGTGAGACGCGGGAGCTGATGTCAGCGGGCGGAGGATATTTGTGGAGGTCAGTGTGGATATTGTGGATGAGTTCTTCTTTCATCATCACGTTCTATTAGTTCTACAGCTTCAGTTTCTGAACTTTCACACTTAGTAACACATACAGCTGTTCCCTCACCACAGTGCAACAGTGGAAAGGGATCCAATGTTCTTTAAGCGACGTATTGCGGTATTTTAAAAATGAATATCATAATAAAAATAAACACCAGTATTCGTTATGAACCGGTATACCGCCCAGCACTCTGTCTGTGACTTATCAGTGTCAAGGTTGATCAAACTTACTGATTCCTTTGGACTTGGGGGCGATTTTTTCCATGTCTTTCAGCTGAAACACATCTTTCTGGAAGCGGGAAAAACAGAGTGTGAGATTATATTGCACTACTAGAGAACCGTGTCAGACATGGACACAGTCACGCATCTATAGGCTCACGGGATTCATACACAAGAATATGAAATCAAGCATACTTACAGTTTCAAAGAATATCTCCATCATACGACTCCTTTTCTCCTCCAGGCTAAGTCCTTTCTTTTTAGACTGTGGAGGATAAAAGAGAAACATGTCTCTGTTAGATAAATAAAACTAATTCATTAGTGTCATTATTGAACAGGTGTGCTGTTTTTATCCTTATCTCTGAGAGAACAAATCGAACATTCGAGAGTCGAGTGTCTCGTTTCTGATTCTGTTTGTTTTAATGGATTGGTTCAAAAACTAATTATCTCAAAGCTACGGAGGATCAAAACTACAATAAATAAATAAACGGAATACGAAATATATAAAGGAATAAATGACTTCATTATTAATTAAATTTAGACCTGAATTTATTTTTGCATTCCTTTCCCTCAATTTATTATTTTTAAATATTTTTTTTTTATTTAAATTTAACTATATTTTCTTTTATTCTTTCATTTATTTATTTTATATTTATTTATGCATTCATTTATTTTTATTTATTTCCCGATTTAAGAACTAGAAAAAGGAATAAATGACTTGCTAAAAAAAAAAATTTAATTCTTTATTAAATTTAAACTTGAATTTATTTTTGCATTTCCCCCCTCAATTTATAATTTTTTAATAATAACTAATTTTTTATTTATTTAACTGTATTAATTTTATATTTATGTGTTCATTTATGTTTAATATGTATTTATTTCCATATTGCCACATTAACTTATATCAATATATGTTTGCATTTATTCTCACATGCAGTCTCTTGTATGATAATTAGACTGCTTCGAAGCAAATCTGAAAGATATTAAGATGATCTTCAGGATGAAGACTGACTTTGATATGATCATATTTGCTATATTCGAAGAAGCTAACGCTACATGTTAAGAGAACAGGAACTAACAATGTTGTGAAACAATGTAGCAAAGACGTCGCACATTTCTGCAAACCTTAATGTGGTTTATTCGACTCTACGACTCTAAACAGTAACAGAATTATTAAATCTATAAATCACGTTCTCACCATGTTCCAGTCGAGCAGCTTGAGTGTGGCGCCAGATGCGAAGGAAATCTCACTGCGCATGCGTGGTGCTACACAGGGTTGCCAGGTGGTCACAACAAAACCGGCCTATCGCTATTTAAAACTAGCCCAAAACTAGCCCTAATGCGTTTCGAGGGGGGGGGGGTGTCCCTGTTAAAAATAGCGTGCTAAATACCACGCTGATGGTTCAACCCGTGGACATGGAAAAACAACTCAACAGTGTTAAAGTAGCTCAGTGTAAAAACCGCGGACCTGGCAACACTAGTGCTAGCGCGCATGCGCAGCAGCTCATTTCTTACCCGTAGGGGCCAGTTACACAAACACAGCCACCTTTTTTCTTAAGAACTGGTTTGACTAACTAGCAGTTAACCAAGTGGTTATCAGTCTTACTTTCCAAATTCAAATTAGACCAGTTTAGGTTTGAATGTATCTTACTTTAAAAAAAGTTACGACCAATCTTGCATAAAACAATATGTGTCTAAATGTTAAGACTAGTCTAAGCAGGTTAGGATGTGGTATATTCGCAAACAAAACAAAAATAGAATATTGTAGTTTGGCCTAGGACTGAAAATATTATCTACGTATTATCTAGTATCTACTAAATAACTATTAGTTGTTTAATAGTACATTTATTAGCACATGACTTTACGTTTGTCTCATGCACAAACAACACATCTGGGAACAGCTGCATAAACGTTGTGTCATAAGAACTAGTTTGACCAGCTAGCAGGTAGCCAAGAGGTCAGTCTTACTTTTCTTGCCCCAGGTGTTAAGGTCTAGAGTAAGAGTAGTTCCAGATAAAACACGAATGTCTGTTAAAGATCGCTTCATCTGGAAAGCATCTGCTGTGTGTCAGTTTTACATGCATTCTAAATCATACGCATCTTAAAGACATCTTCTATCTGACATCTGATAGGAAACGTCCTATAGACGTATCGCAGATGAGCGAACAATGAAAGAAGCAGAATGATAGAAATCCCCCCCGAATACTGAAAGAATTGACTTCTCTGTGTTGGTTTTAGACCCAGCAAAGTCATAGGTCAACAATATCTATTTCATTCATATATGAAACCTTATGAAAACAATACGTTTTTGGAATATTTTCTTTTAAACACATGTCTATCTTGTATATTCATGATACCAATATGTCAGGTTTTATATACACATATAGGCTAGCCACAAATGTATATATATACAGTATATATATATGGATCTCCTCTCATATGACAATACAGTATATGTCATATATGGAAATATAATATGGGTACATATAGTTTACACTTGTGTATGAGGTTAATTAATTTGGGAGGATATTTGCAATACTGTTTCCAAAACTTTTTATATATAATTGAATACTGTGATTTTGTTATTTTCTTGCAGTAACACATTTTTTTGCTAGATAATAGTTTATCCAACATATCTAATATTTCACTCCATCCATATTTGCACCCCCCTGTGAAAGGTAGATACATTATTGTAACTATGTATCCTGATAATGATCCGTGTATGCATCACGGGCCTGACTGCATCAGTTAATTAACATCCAAATGCTTGGAGTTGTTTACATTTTTAAGCAAGAAAGCTGTTTTGACAGTGACACACTGATACACTCAAACGCTTCACACTCTCTTCCTCCTTCAGTCTGTTTAGAGTCTTTGAGTTTAAAGCTGCCTGTGACTTTTTGCTCTTCTCTTTTTTCCCTCTGGTTTTCGGTTAGGTCACTCCGTATATGCAGGAATGCGTTACTCAGGCACAGCTTGTGGTAACAAGCTCACTGCTTGATTGCATCACATCCGAGGGAGAGAAGGAGAGGTGAATCAGGTCTGAAAGAGGAAGCAGGATGTCATGAAGGCGTGTTAGCCACCAGTCACAATGCAATGAGTCTGTGTCTGTGTCTGTGTCTGTGTCTCTGGGCCAGTGCTTCCACCGAGGACTCTGGGAAATGAATCTTACACTATTCCTGCTTTTGGCATTGACTGCTAGCTGGACTGAACTTGGTAGGTGCTCACGGTCGTAGATCATTTTTGCTTTATGTAGAATCCTATCTCTCTCTCTATATCACTCTCTTTCTATTTTTCCCATTCATTTACAGTCGCTCTCTTCTGTCTGCTCTCTTCGTCATGATCCTCAGAAAACATTTTAGACTAATGACCTGTCGTATCAATGGACGATGATAAAGTAGAAGACAGAGTGATCACATTACGTTATAACTATAGTTCTTTGACTCATTTTGTTGTTTCTGGTTTCATGCAAAGCACAAAACAGCTCGTCTTTGTCGGTGACAAGGATAATATTAATTCAGGACAAATGTATCTTCCTCTTGGTTTACGGCAATCATTTCCTCTGATTATTAGTTTCCTCCTTTTTACCTCATACTTCTCTTGTCGCTGAATATGAATTTTGATATTCAAATATTATGTTATGAAGATTATGTTTTCGTTGAGACGATGTTGGTAGCACTTTACAGTGACAGTCACTTTCACTCTTATGTAATTAATGGTATATTTATAAATTAAAGTATGATTATTTTGGTAACACTTCCCAGTGAGGTTCTGTGTGTTAACATTAGTTTATTAGTTTGAACACTTTTATGACATTTAGTTTCTACATGTACAATTTAAACAAGTCAACATTAACATTAGATAATGTTTAATGGACAAACATTAATTACTGTATACTATATATATATATATATTGAACCATTAAATGAACCTATATTAATAAATGCTGTTCTTTGTTAGGAAAAAAGGCCGATGAATGTTTGTAATCTCTGGTATACTCAGATAACATCTTTCTTCAGAACTGAAACAGGCCTCAACTGAACCTCAGTATAAAAATCTAGATGAAGCTTCTTTAAAGTCCCTTCTTAACTGTGTAAAGTAATTTAGTTGCATGTCATTACAGTTCAATGTGAAGACAACGAAGAGCCCGAGGAAGAGTTTGTCTCTGAAGACTGTGAGTATCTTGGTTTTTATTTGATGTAGACGTTTCCAAACACGTCGTAGACTACTGTAATCTACTTTCTTGTGGTCACTGCAACACTCTCAGAAAGCAAGGTGCTAAAGCTGTTACTGGGACTTTGCAAAAGTTACAAATATGTAACATTTAGCTATTAATATGTACATTTTAGGCACTAATATAAGGATTAAATAAGGTGCAAAGGTGCCGCCCCATGGACCTTATTTTTGGAAAAATGATTTAAGTTTGAAGCAATATTTTGTACATTATGTCTGCCATAGTTGTTGTCTATAATGTTTTTGTGTTTGTTTCATGTTTCACCTCCACTCATAAATCTGATCTGTTTCTACACTGAACAGTGTTAGGTCCCAAAGCAGAGGGTGAAGAAGAAAACTCAGGTAAGAAGTAGTGGTTAGCAACTAGAAGATATAACTAGGGCTGGGCAATATATCAAATATTAGTGATATTATCGTGATAATAGAATGATTGATATAAAATGATAGAATATCTTGAATTTCATGCCAAGAAGTGCTTATAGCGACTAGTTTCTTGTCTGAAAGAGTTGTTAGTGGCAGTGTGTCGTGCCACAGAGCAGAAACCGTTGATAGACTTGTGTTCTTGGCTGTGAAAGCCCGTGAGACGTTTGCATAATTTTCCCCACAGTGTAAAATGTAGTATGTGAATTACATTGCTCTAAAGAAGCTGTCAGAATGCACTTTTTGTACCGATTTCACACTTTCTTTATACACAAGGAGAAAAGAAATGAGTGGACACTTAGTCTGCTTGTTTTTTTGCACCAAACATGAATGATAGATGTTCTATCCAAATCAAATATTTTTTTTAATTAAAAACCTTTTAAAATTATTCTACTACAAATGCAAAAACATCTCTATATATATATATATACTCGTCAAAATTTGGAAAGATATCGAGATATCATATTTTACCGCCCCGTCCTAGATATAATATAATTTCAATGTACTAAGCGATTTATAATACACCATTCCAAACTTTGGGGACAGTAAGATTTATTTATTTATTAAGAAATTAATAATTTTATTCAGCAAGAATGCATTAAATTGATCAAAAGTGACAGTAAAGACATTTTGTAAAATGTTACAAAAGTTTTTTTCATATAAATGCTATTCTTTTGAAATGTAGTCAAGTAAATGTATTACGGTTCCACAAAAATATTGTGCAGCACAACTGTTTTCAACATTGATAATAATCAGAAATGTTTCTCGAGCAGCAGATCAGCATATTATACTGATTTCTGAAGATCATGTGACACTGAAGACTGGAGGAATGATGCTGAAAATACAGCTGCGCATCACAGAAATACATTACACTTTAACACAGATTCACAGAGAAAACAGCTGTTTTAAATTATAATAATATTTCACTATTTTTTTATTATTATTAAACAAATTCAGCCTTGGTGAGCAGAAGAGCGTTCCTTCAAAAACATTAACATAAAAAAAATATTAACCTGATGTAGCAAATATTATTGTGTAGCCACATCATAAGCCATATAACTAATATACAGAGATCAAATGTATAAAATGTTTTATGTATCGATGCTTGTTTACATGTTTTTTCATGATGTATTTATTGCTTTAAAGATAATCATGGGGACAGCTCTGGAGATGGCAGGAGCCTTGGTGTGTATTGTCCTTTCCAGATGATAAAATAATCGTTTTAAGCTTTATCTGATCCACTTTTACTGTGACTTTCTACTTTGGGAAATGGATCCTTTACTTAAATCTTGTTCAGTTGCAGATTCCCCGGAATCAGTTTCCACAGCAAGCAGTGACTCAGTTAATAATCAGGAAACAGAGCCGACTACAGAGACTAATACAGAGCCGACTACAGAGACTAATACAGAGACTAATACAGAGCCGACTAAGGAGGATCTCAGCCCAGTCATCATGATCATCATTCCAAGCTTCTTTAAAGTCCCTTCTTAACTGTGTAAAGTAATTTAGTTGCATGTCATTACAGTTCAATGTGAAGACAACGAAGAGCCCGAGGAAGAGTTTGTCTCTGAAGACTGTGAGTATCTTGGTTTTTATTTGATGTAGACGTTTCCAAACACGTCGTAGACTACTGTAATCTACTTTCTTGTGGTCACTGCAACACTCTCAGAAAGCAAGGTGCTAAAGCTGTTACTGGGACTTTGCAAAAGTTACAAATATGTAACATTTAGCTATTAATATGTACATTTTAGGCACTAATATAAGGATTAAATAAGGTGCAAAGGTGCCGCCCCATGGACCTTATTTTTGGAAAAATGATTTAAGTTTGAAGCAATATTTTGTACATTATGTCTGCCATAGTTGTTGTCTATAATGTTTTTGTGTTTGTTTCATGTTTCACCTCCACTCATAAATCTGATCTGTTTCTACACTGAACAGTGTTAGGTCCCAAAGCAGAGGGTGAAGAAGAAAACTCAGGTAAGAAGTAGTGGTTAGCAACTAGAAGATATAACTAGGGCTGGGCAATATATCAAATATTAGTGATATTATCGTGATAATAGAATGATTGATATAAAATGATAGAATATCTTGAATTTCATGCCAAGAAGTGCTTATAGCGACTAGTTTCTTGTCTGAAAGAGTTGTTAGTGGCAGTGTGTCGTGCCACAGAGCAGAAACCGTTGATAGACTTGTGTTCTTGGCTGTGAAAGCCCGTGAGACGTTTGCATAATTTTCCCCACAGTGTAAAATGTAGTATGTGAATTACATTGCTCTAAAGAAGCTGTCAGAATGCACTTTTTGTACCGATTTCACACTTTCTTTATACACAAGGAGAAAAGAAATGAGTGGACACTTAGTCTGCTTGTTTTTTTGCACCAAACATGAATGATAGATGTTCTATCCAAATCAAATATTTTTTTTAATTAAAAACCTTTTAAAATTATTCTACTGCAAATGCAAAAACATCTCTATATATATATATATACTCGTCAAAATTTGGAAAGATATCGAGATATCATATTTTACCGCCCCGTCCTAGATATAATATAATTTCAATGTACTAAGCGATTTATAATACACCATTCCAAACTTTGGGGACAGTAAGATTTATTTATTTATTAAGAAATTAATAATTTTATTCAGCAAGAATGCATTAAATTGATCAAAAGTGACAGTAAAGACATTTTGTAAAATGTTACAAAAGTTTTTTTCATATAAATGCTATTCTTTTGAAATGTAGTCAAGTAAATGTATTACGGTTCCACAAAAATATTGTGCAGCACAACTGTTTTCAACATTGATAATAATCAGAAATGTTTCTCGAGCAGCAGATCAGCATATTATACTGATTTCTGAAGATCATGTGACACTGAAGACTGGAGGAATGATGCTGAAAATACAGCTGCACATCACAGAAATACATTACAGTTTAACAGAGATTCACAGAGAAAACAGCTGTTTTACATTATAATAATATTTCACTATTTTTTTATTATTATTAAACAAATTCAGCCTTGGTGAGCAGAAGAGCGTTCCTTCAAAAACATTAACATAAAAAAAATATTAACCTGATGTAGCAAATATTATTGTGTAGCCACATCATAAGCCATATAACTAATATACAGAGATCAAATGTATAAAATGTTTTATGTATCGATGCTTGTTTACATGTTTTTTCATGATGTATTTATTGCTTTAAAGATAATCATGGGGACAGCTCTGGAGATGGCAGGAGCCTTGGTGTGTATTGTCCTTTCCAGATGATAAAATAACCGTTTTAAGCTTTATCTGATCCACTTTTACTGTGACTTTCTACTTTGGGAAATGGATCCTTTACTTAAATCTTGTTCAGTTGCAGATTCCCCGGAATCAGTTTCCACAGCAAGCAGTGACTCAGTTAATAATCAGGAAACAGAGCCGACTACAGAGACTAATACAGAGACTAATACAGAGCCGACTACAGAGACTAATACAGACGCAGACGAGGAGGATCTCAGCCCAGTCATCATGATCATCATTCCCCTGGTTCTCACACTCATCATCATCGCTGTAATCGTGTGTGTAGTCATGATCTACCGCAGGAGGAGAATAAAAGCTGCTGGTATGTTCAATGCATTCAAACTAATAGACGTACAGACTCTAAATAACCAGCCAAAAACATCAGTTAGGGTGGTGTTTACATATTTATCTGAAAGACACAAATATTTACAGATGTGCATAAAACCTGAAGGTAAACGTGGAAAAAACCTGAATGGATGCACAGTAGTAATTCACTATGTTTAAACCTACTGAGCAGCATGTGCAAACTCTGGATTCACAAAAACACACACACAAAAAAACATTTTAATTACATTTTTGCAACACAGTTTTTGTCATCCATGGCTCTGAGACTAAAAAGAGTCTTTCTTTCCTTTCTCCTTCCATTGCTTACAGTTTACGGTTCCTTAGAAGGCAACTCAAACTGAACCATAAATGAAGAAGAAAACACTGTGGGATGAGAAATGTTTATCATGTCTTCTCATCTGTTTTCTTCCAAAGACAGAAAAGAAGATCCTTATCTGGATCATGAAGACAATGAAAAAGTGCCAATGTAGGTACACGGTTTTAAGAGCATGTTGTGTTTCTATAATCATGTATTATGAGTGATATCTGCTGGCTGCACTTCAGTAGTGTATTTAAGATGTTTCTTAGTTCCTTTTAGCAAATATGTGGCTTACCCAGATGTGCAACAGTTTACTCAGTAAAAAGCATGAAGATGGTTAAAATATGGCTTGCTGGAAAACAAGCATTAACAATAATATATATGATTATGTATAAACCTGGTTATTGTTTATTTAAAAATATATATTTTATTAGTACTATTACAGACCTTACCTGTTTCTGTATGACTGACAAATACGCATCATATCAAGTTAAAATTACTTTGTTAAAACTGTGTATGAACAGTATGTGTGGATGAACATTTTATATGCAATTCAAATATAAATCTTTAATTTAAACCTAATAATGTATGCTCTAATAATGCATTGCTTAAAAACAACATTAAGCTGTTATACTGAGTGTGTTACATTATTTTGCAGTTTTAGGGAAGTTTGTGCTTTGGCCAGCAGGGGGAGCCATTGCACTAAAAACATTCAAATGCTCAAAAGACCTCACTTTATGAAAGTTGATGTTTAGTTGATTCACACTTAAACCTTTACATTAAGGTTCAAAACATCTTTCATACAAACAGACTGTGTTTGTAGGGTTGAAATTGTTTGCACTGTAAAAGTGTGTAAATATATGATCTATTTATATTAGAAAAATCTAAGATATATATTTTTTAAAGATGTGGAACATGTTTGGTTTAAAGCTTTTAATGCAAAGAATCTGTGTCTTTTCATCGTTTGCTTGCAGATGGAGGCAAGAAAGTGGACACTGGCCAAATATAATGAAACGCTTTTCAGTGAGTACACTAGACTTATTATTCCCTCCTTTATGCAAGATGTAGTCCAAACCTGGGAAAGCTACACAATTTCTAGAACGTAGTACAGTACAGTATTCGCAGTACAGTATTGGCTTGGACAGCTGTCTAGTGGTTATAACAGGAAAGTCATTGTACTAGCTTGCAAATATTTAATTTTTCAGCACAGATCTTTAACAGATGTCGTGCATTTCTTGATTATTTACATTCACACGTCATATTTCACTGCACTTCAGGCTGAATTCAGATTGTTTCCGAGGAATGGTGAAGACTCATAGACATAAATGTTTGTAATAATCAGTGTTGGGGAAAGTTACTTTTAAAAGTAATGCATTACAATATTGCGTTACTCCATGAAAAAAAAGTTACTAATTACGTTACTTAGTTACTTTTTATGGAAAGTAATGCGTTACGTTACTTGTTAAATCTGGACAGGGCTTGCTTGTTTGTTTTTAAAATAAAAAAGTTATATTTCTGGCAAATATAAAAGCCTTTTCACACCAGAAGTGAAATGAATAAGCCTCAGGCTGAAGGGAAAGTACAGTAGAATGCAGAAGAACACACTTCAGCAATAAACAAAGACACACAGATGTTCATCTAGAGTAATTTTGGCTTATTAGTACGCTTGAACTGGATCATCGAAGCTCAGAAGCAAATAGAATGGGATTAAATACATAAAGGATATTTGTGTTGTTTAACATTTAATTATTGCAGGTTTGCGTCATATTCTGAGTTGCATTATTTTTATTCATTTTGAGGAATACTGTGTTTGTTTTTGTTTGTTTTTTGTGTGAGAGATGAATTAATGCATATTCATATTTATTTTAGAGCTACAGTAACATCTTCTGATTTCTCTCAGCACGGGGACAGGAGAGCTGTCAGTCAATAAATTTGAAAAAAAAAAGTAACTTGCGTTACTTATTTGAAAAAGTAACTCCGATATTCTCTTGTAAATTAAAAAGTAATGCGTTACTTTACTAGTTACTTGAAAAAAGTAATCTGATAACGTAACTTGCGTTACTTGTAATAATTACCCCCAACACTGTGCATAACATTTCAGAAGTGTACAGTAAATACACAGAGCGACCGTTGAGTTCACATCAGTTACATGAAACTTTCCTCTTGGGGGTTGTGGTGGGTTAGAGGTTCAGAAAAGAATGGGGGTCCGCAGCACTGGACGTGATAGAACTGTGCTGATTTGGATGGGGAACACACACACGACTCACTGGGAAGTGCGGCAAGACGAGGCATGAAGATATGCATTCGCATGCGTCACACCCTGTCATGTAATGTGTAAGGTATCGTTTCCTGGAACTGTGAAATGACATAAAGTTACTTTACTTTCCAGTGGAATGTCCCTCTGAGTCTTAGCTACTGTACACAGAGCTCCCCATAGTGAACTTTGTTTTTATGTCATGCAATTTGAACTATGATATGATAAACATTTAACATGTCATACTGCTGCTTTTTAGATATCCAGGAAAAAAGAACAAAAAGACATTACATTGTATGTTGGGATGTGCAAGAACTACAAAAGCAATGACACTCTGCTGCCAGTAGACATAGTTATTAGTCTTTTAAATTTATTGGAGTCAGAGTATAAAAAAATGTATGTAGACATTACAGTCCACTTAAGTTATGATAGCGTCTCAGTCCATATTGACACTGTTTTTGGAACTCGATCAGTGTGAATAATAATAATAATAATAATAATAATGTACCATTCAAAGGTTTGAGGTTGACAAGATTTTTTGTTTTTTGGAGGAAGTCTCTTCTGCTCACAAAAGCTGCATTTATTTAATAAAAAATACAGTAAAAACAGTAATATTGTGAAATATTATTCCAATTCCAAACAGCTGTTTTCTCTGTGAATCTGTGTTAAACTGTAATGTATTTCTGTGATGCGCAGCTGTATTTTCAGCATCATTCCTCCAGTCTTCAGTGTCACATGATCTTCAGAAATCAGTATAATATGCTGCTCAAGAAACATGTCTGATTATCATCAATGTTGAAAGAAACAGCTGCTTAATATTTTAGTTTTTTTTCAGGATTCTTTGGTGAATAGAAAGTTCAAATGTGTCCTTTCTTTAAAAAAAGAACAACAGAAAACCTTTGGTAGTGTGTATATAATTAAATCACGTTAAGCCAGGTTCATCCCTTATACATTTTGACAAAAAAAATAGTTTTGGGCTAGTCCAAAAACACTATGAAAAGTCAAGACATGAATAACAGGAACACACTTTTAGTAATGCATGGACTCTTGTCAAGTGCCTAGATTGTTGAATAGATTTGAAGTGGACCTCTAACAGAATAATAAACAGCAGTATTGTCTGTTGACCTCCACATCATCAGCATCTCTTCCACAAACACCCAACCACACGCACTTGCTTACTAATGCAGACACAAACACAGGCCGTGCCATTCTGTCGAGTTTGTTTTGAGGAGGCTGCGTACGAGGAACAGAATAGTTCCTCGAGTTTGTTTTGAGGAGGCTGCTGACTTCTGACCCGCGGGTGACATCTGGTACTCGTTACAGCAGGCATGTGAGGAAGCTGGCCTCTTGCGTGCTCTCTGTCTCGCTCTCTCTGGGAACAGCAGAGGGTCAGAGTCCATGAGCCAGGAATGCAAGCTTACGTCACGCAGAGCGTGTTTTTCCCAGGATCGAGCGCTATATACAAGTTACAGGCTACACAAAGGCTAGGTGATGTCAATGACAAATTAATGTTGATATAAACATAAACGGAGAGTATCTGAGGCCACATCAGCACAGGAGTACACGGCTCTTTTTATGCTGAATCTGATCTGGAAACAGAAATTCTTTGCAGTAATTGTTGGAATATAACAGCACTGTTGAAGACTCCATATAACATACAAATGCACAAAGGTCTATGGAATAGTCCACAAATGTCTACAGCAGCTTGTCAGTGCACACTCTAAAAAATAATTTCTAAATACCACGATAATAAATAACCATGCTACCTTAATAAAATCTCTGAATATCACTTAAATGATTGTTTGAGTTGGACATACCAAAATAAATTCTTTAAAATCCAATTTTGTCAAAAATTTACATAAATAAATAAATAAGGTATTTGACATTGTTTTTTAAATACATTTAATATTTTTGTTCAATTGCAATAAAAATATTTCAGAATGGAGAAATCATGCTCGTCAGTTTTAAGAGCTACAGTTATTACTCATTTCATATCAATAAAAATATTTCTGAACGGAGGAATTAAACTGACCAGTTTCAAGAACTACAACTATTTCTCATTTCATATCAATATTCTTCATCTCTAACAACAATTTTAGAGATGGAGTGTGTTCACTGTATAACCAAACAGTTTAAATTAATTTAATAAAATGAGTTTGTTTCACTGAAATATAATGGAAATCCATCGTACGTAACAGAAAAATGAATTGCAACAGATTTCTAGTTCTCAGCATGCTTTGCGTCAGACCGTATAGAAGGAGAATAAATGTTGAAATTAAGTGTTATTTTGTGGGTTTTTGCACATAATTAATATAGAAGAAGATCTGTTGGTGTTTAATGTTCTGTTATGCTGGAATTTATAGGGGTTTCTGTTGAATCTAGGCAATGTTTACTTACATTTACTAAATTCATGAGGATATTTGACTGATTTAAAAAACAAAAGTGAGTGCATGATAGTTTTTGGCACGTATCTGAATGAATCTGTTTTCCGCTCATTTGTTTTACAGGTAGCTGCGGCTGTGGAGCTGATCCAGTGCTGCACTATTTCTAGGTACACGTAACATAAGGGAAAACTTTACCAGTGCTTTTAGATTGTTTCATAATGCCATAGCTTTATATTAAGAAGATATTTGTAAAATATTAAACACTGCTGTGTAAAGAGCTTTGCCGATAAGAAAATGCAATTTTTTCTGTCTGTTGCACTGATCTAAGCCTGTGGTCTTCTGTGTGCATAAACATATTTTCAACACTTTTTGACAGAGTACAACTAAATGATAAACAATGCTGTTTCTTTATAATGTAATAATTGTTCTTGTTCTAAATGCAAGGGCTGCCACAGAAATATTAAGATGCATTTCATCATTCCATTTAAATTATAAAGACATTAACCTTTGTAAATAGCTGTATTTTTCTTTTATTTGCAGTATTGCAAGTTTGTGTTTACAATTTATAATGAAATTGAAATCACTTCATAATTCTTAAGAAAACACCAATGCATTTCCTGCTAC